ATTTCACTACTGTTCAAAATGTATTACAACTTCAATTCCACCCTTCAACAAATCTGTAATTTGGGAGTCTTTGCACCAAAACTGTAAATATTCAATTTTTTTTTTTTTTTTTTTTTTTTTTTTGAACAGGCAATTTTTAATTATCAAAATATAAAATCTGGCAACATTTTAGCGACAATTTCTAGCTTTACACAATGCAACAAAATTGCTTTTCTGTCATTCACAGTATAATTCAAAGAAGTAATAACTAATTCATTAAACTTTACCTACAAGTTACATTCAATCCTTTGTTTTTAGAATTTTCTAATTTACAATACACTGCACAGGCTTGTCTACCTTTACAAAAGGAATAATTTTCCTCTTTGCATATTTTTGTAAGGTATACAGTACATTACAACATAAGAAACATCATTTTTTTTTCATGAAAGCTTCTCTTGAGTGTTCAAATTCTCATGAAAATGGCTCAAGTGCTCTTGATCATAAAATATACAAGTGTTTGATGTAGCACTGGCCAACAATTCATTAGTGGAAGAAGCCAATTTATAGTAATTAGGAGCACTGAATTTCCTGTAATTAAGATTGTTTATACTGGCTACATGTTGCAAATTGTAAGGGTATGTATATGAAACATTCTTTCCCTTGCAATTATGGAACAATGCAAAAAATCCATTAAGTGTCTTAAATTATGATTACTGCTTAAGATATGATTTTTGCTGAATTTTAAGTGAGGTTGCTGGGAAAGAGTTTTAGAATTACTATGCAAAGCATTGCACTGTATTTTATGCCTAACTCTGAAGAGAATAAAATTGGGTTTGGCACTTTGGCACTTAAAATACAGATTTCTCAACTCTTGTAAATTAAAAGTGTTCTTTAAAGGGGTCATATTCAGCAGTTTAGACATATGGACATTGATTAATACAGTCAAAAGTCATTAATCCGGACTCGTCGGGACTTCGGCGATTCTGGATTATCGATTTTTCCAGATTATAGATCATCAGTTTAAATCTGGTAGGATGGCATGCAGAAATTACAAAATTAAAAATATGAAACCGTAATTTATGAAATAAAGAACAATTATGATCTAAAGGGTATCAAAATTTACAAAAAGAAAAAGCTTAATATTTATTTGTTTACTTTATTAAACATTTCTTTCTTTCATTTGTTTACTTTATTAAACTCTCTTACATTAAACATGTAAGTTGTTTAAGTTGCTTCGTTTCATGTGATAATACTTTCTCTTTAATTCTATTAAACAGACATAATTTCTTGTTTAGTTACAAAGTTCCGCTGTTCAAGTCCTATAATTGCTGTGTCGAGAATACCAACTAATTTGTCAATCAAAATTTTTTCATTTTCAATAACCTCTGTCACTTTCTTCACTATCGGAAGCGAATTATAATGACGAGGAACTTGTTTTAAATCATATCAAAGACGGAGTACATCGAGATGAAATACTACATTTAATAAGGAATTATAAGCCAAATAAAATAAAAACATCTGCCCTGAAGATAAGGATAGTGCTGACAGATCAATTTCCAATTCAATGCGCGCCGCGGCATTCCCCCTGCTGAGCAGCGTGAAATTGATAAACAGATTTCGGATTTCGAAACATACTTTCGCTTTAGATCCTTTACATATTAACAAATATATATCGGAAATTCTATTTGATATAATCAAAAGTTTAAGCTTACTTTTATAAAATTGCTCTAACAGTCTGCAAAAAATAATAATCCGGATCCAATTCGAAGTTTAAGGAACAACGCAATCTGCAACATTAACTGAATTAGATCATTTCAGCTTAGCTTACACCGTCCGCTATACATTGTTTAATGCGTAAATGTTTTATGAGCATGCGCACAAGCATATTAGCTTTTCTGTCATTCAATCAATTTACCGTAAAAGTCTTACGCGCGCACGTAAAACGCCTATGCGCATGCATCTACGAGACGCATGCGCAGAAAGTTTGTAGTTTTGAGGTCCGGATTATAGATCATTCCGGATTAGAGGTGTCCGAATAAACGACTTTTGACTGTATGTCTCTCTGACCAAAGGTATCTTGGGAACTACTCTTATATGCGCCTTTAAGTTGCCAAATTTCTCCACGGTACGATATTACTATCTAAATTACTTAAATCAAACTTTAAGTCTAAAATGTCTCCAAAAACCACGTTTTGAATACACAATTTAAGCTAAAAATCTTAAACAAAAACAAAAAATTTAGATAGCAAAAACGTAAAGTTTCTAACCAAAAATATTTGACAAGAATCCATGTACACAGCGACATGTTTTAACTTTAAAAAAATCTACAAGTTGCACAATCTAGGCAGTGAAAGAATCTACAAACTACACACACCTCACTTTAATAAATTAACATAATAACAATAAATTTCAAAGAATACCATGTACACAGCATCCTGTTTAAACTTTAAAAAAAATCATCTACGAATTGCACAATCTAGGCATTGCACACAAATCAACCAAATAAACTAAACTAAATTACAAACAATTGAAAAAACAACAATAAAAACAGAAATTCATACAAAAACAATGAACATAACATTCTACAAAATAAAAAAAAATAAAATGCATTTATCATAATGAAAGCTTCTTTTAAGAGCAGAAATATCAATTTCAAACATCACAAAAACAAAAAACACAAACACTTTCTTGAAATACTCTATAAAGAAATTTTTAATTTCTCCCATTCAACAGTTCTTACAATTTCTAGAAATTTGTTAAAAGGATCTTCTCCAGTTTAATTGATAAAACTGCAAATCGCATTTCCTATTATAAATAGGGAACATAGCTTTAACATGCCACCATGTACTCTTTATGGTATTTATATGACAGCCAGACTCGCTATCCATAAAATTTATACTGTGGTTCACAAATAAATGTTCAAAACCTTCTTTTCTTAAATCCTTGTAAGATTTCCAGTCATTTGAAAAAATAGTCGTACCAGGCTCAATCCACTCTTTAATACACTGTGTCAGTGTTTCCTTACTTCTATCACACACAGCCACTAAAAATAATCTCCCAGACCCTCTTTCCACACCTCCAAATACTCATTGCCCCTCAACAGCATGGCCACGATATTTCCTTTTGCCGAAATTCGATTCATCCTCTTCCACCACTTTATCTTTCTCCCCTATCTTTTCAGACACACAGCATACAAAGTCCATAATACATTCCTTAATAAAATTTCGCCAGTCACGCAACATCTGTGAAGAAAAAAGTGCAACGATTTGCTATATCACATGTCTTCTTGCGATTCAAAATTTCGAAAGTAACAATAAAAACTCCCTCCAATGTTAACTTACAAGACAAAAATCAAGATCCAAACCTTCAACTCCGCTGACACACACATACTTTGCCAGCAACAATTTGACTGCAAACCTACACAAGTCTATCAGAAACACCATTCTTTGTGAGAGTTCTCATATCAGCTCCACATTTTTAACACACCAAACTCCGTTTTAAAAGTCCTGACTCCCACAGAAATTCTAAAAATACACTATGATCTGCATAAAAATCCCTGTGAACAAAAGACTAACAACTCCAACATCGTACCTTTTCATACTAAATTTACTCTGCACACAATCTAAAATATGTGACTGAAATCTTCCCATCACATCTCTTATTGCAACATTGGCCATTTCAAAACATGCATGACGAGACGAACCAATGAGCAATTAAACTATTCCACCAAAAGATTCTTCAACCTCAACAGGGTTGCCATACAAAACGCAATTGCACCAAAAACCAGAGCAGAACACATATCACCACATTTGGTGAAATTAGGACGCATATCAAAACAGAGCCGTATCTTGGATTAATTTGATATTTGACTAACAGTAGTCTGAGGTAATAGCGAAACCTTTCATGTAAAAAGTTTTTCCTCCAAGGCAAGTAAACAAATAAGTAAAATTTTCAACACCTGAAAGAAAAGAATTTTTCTCAGTCAAATTTTCAAACTGATTCCAGAAACTGACATATTCAGATGGACTCCCATAATATTTTGAACTTTCAATTAGGTAACTTCCGAGTTTGTATTTGATCTACTTTGATTTGTTAGTGGATGAACACATCGAAGTTCTTGTTCAGTTGCGAATTGATAAGTTTTATCAAGAGAAAAATAATTACTTCATTGCATTTGAACAATCCATACTATTTCTGAGTCATCTAAAACATCTACAATTTTATTGTCAACAGATTTGAGCTGGTCCATCTTTGGCTTGTAACAGCATTAAAAATTTTTCTAATTTATTTTCAAGTCTATCGAACTTCATTTTTTCCAGCTATTTCAGCCAGTACTACAACAACAAGACAAATCTATACTGCCAAATGGCACTTCAATCAAAAATATAAAATCTTAAAATACTAGTCAATTCGAATAACAAAACCATAGATAAACAAATACTTCACTTCCTGAAACCAAAACAAACTATAATAAATGAAATACAATTTGTCAACAAATTCTCAAAACTACAACATTATTACCCATTCCATCTTCTAACATACAAAGAATTCTTGAGAGGCTATGATGATTTACAAAGAAAAAGTTTCTATTTTACAAATGTAGTGACAGTATCAGGTGTTTCATACAAAATTCCTGAAAGTCATACACCAAAATGACATAAAACTTAAGTCAAAACAAGCACACAAAAATCATATGAATGACCATTTTTTCTTATTTTCAACAACTGTCATCATAATATGAAACATATTTTAGTACTACTATGTATCTGCATAGGTACAACTCTCAACATGCAAGGGCACAGCACAAATACGTAAATTTTAAACAATAGCTCAAGTTTTATGCTGACTGAAATAGCCTTCAATAATTTAGTTCATAGATTGACCTTTTAAAAATTTCCATAGCTTTTTCATTTTCACTAGCTAATATGTGATTAAAAATATACTATTTTTGAACATAAAATTTTTTTATCCAACAATTTAAAAAAAACAAGCAACTGATTAAAATTATTGATATTTTGTACCTGTTGCAACCTGATGTCCAAATCCTCTACTTCCACTATGTATCATAACACAGACTTGACCTTTACAATCAATACCCATTTTACTAGCATTGTTTTTGTCATAAATTTCATCAACAACTTGAATTTCTGCATAGTGATTACCAGCTCCAAGCGTTCCAAGCTAAAATAATAAATTTAATAAAGAAATTACTTTGGTTAGATTATAACATATTTTAAAATGTTAAAAGTTTTCATGTTAGCATAAAACGACAACATTCCTCCAGGCATCACCTTTTAAAAAACTGTCCACATGAGTTAACAGCATATAAAAAAATGAAAATCATCTATATGCAGAAAAAACATTTAAAAACAATCACTTGAAAATTTTAATTATTATTATAGTTTCAAATTAGATAAATAACTTGTGGCCACAAACTTTAACAAGAAAATATTTCTAAATCTTTTACTGCATTTAGAACCAAGACTGATTTAAAAAAAAGAAAGAAAGAAAGAAAATTCTGCTCAAAATAGATAAACCAGGCTTTATATTTTTTCTTGAATGGCTCTAATGGTTATGTTTTAACACTACACACGGACATTCTTCATAAAAATATAACACTATCAGACTTGTTCTTTATCTCGAGTTTTTTAAAGGTTTACGGTTAATCATAGTTAAAGCAGAGAGTATATCTGACATCGATTACAGACCTTAATCACTAGGACAGACAGGCCAGGAAGAAATAGGTGAGACATTATAGCTCTACCAAATGGTCTCACAGGTATAGTCCCACTGCATTAAATGCATAGTTCCATCGCAATTTTGATGAAGTACACCCTAACAAACAGATCTGGTAATCTCCTATTCCTCTTTCCCCACCACCTACTCACTAGAGACAGCTTTTGGATCACCAGTGTTTTAAATGCTTCCATGTCACATTAGAAACTATACACTTTACAGACATCCATGCCTTCTAAAGGAACTCTATCAACCTATGAATAGGCATTTAAAAAAAAAAAAAAAGTATGCAAAAATCTGAAATGTTTCAGATTTTAAATTACGTTTTTTTAACGTTTTGTGCGTTATCTTTATTTGTTAAACATCATGTTCTTCATACTTAAACCATAAAATTCAATTCAACAGGAATATCGCAAAATAGTTTTAAAACGAGCATATCTTTAGAATTTCCCGATACAAAGTCTCGACGCGCTGGAGATAAAAATGTTTTTTTCTGCACAACGTTGCCATTGCTCGCTTTGAAATCCTTGAGTTTGTTAATCAAAAATTCGTCAAAGTTTTAAAAAATAGGAAATCGATCATAAAACAAATTTCAAATTTCAAATTTGGTCTTCCACATGCTCATATTCGTTGGAGGATTACGTTATTCAAAATTCGATGACTCTATGTACCGTTGTTTTATCACAATACGAGAAATATACATACATTTATGCAGATTTTTCATTATTTAATTTCTTCAAATATAATGCAGGACTCTAACATTTTGTGGCAACAGTTTGAAAAGTGAACCGACATTTATGAGTCCGACGCAAAATGCCAAAACGAAACTAATAGTCCTTCGGGATTCAAATCCCTTTGGACTAAAAAAAAGGATCTACAGAAACCTTAAAATATGGTGATTCATCAGTTTTCGAAATCAAAACATAGTAGACCAGTATTTCTCATTCTTTTTTGTCCCATGCACCCTTTTCACCATTCATAAAAGATCCATTTCCCTTTTCCTTTACAAAATTCAAAAAACATGCTTACGTTTATTTAAATGTAGATAATTTTTTAATGGCACAGAGCAGAATCAAGTGGAAGGCTGACTGCTTTCCCCTTAAAACTATGAACCCCCTCCCCCCGGTTGAGAATGACTCTACAAGACTATGAACCAGCAAAAAGTATTTCACAGGAGATTTATTCTTATACATAAACACAGTAAGATAGTAACTGACTGTTATGTAACATATGAAAAGGTTGTTCATTAGTAAATAATTGTTATTTTATAAAAATTACTATCTTCTAGTAAGATGAACTTTTATGAAAATGCACTCATTTTTCTCTGCTCTGTAAATTATTTTTCTAGTAAAATGCATTATATACTGCTGTAGCTGACCATAAAAAAATAATGCCACCAATTTATTTCAGATACATATTTGTAACAAACATACTTGTGGTAATCCTCGCTTCTTAGCTTTCATGGAAACTTTTGCAGGATCAGCATTTAGCATTCTGCCATATTCTTCACAATGTTCTTTATCTTCTGCCCAAGCATATCCTGTTGATAATAAAGCAAAAATCCAGAATATATTAAGTGAAACTAATTTCATATAATACATGAAACAGGTGGGGAATACTAAACATAGAGATAAATAGCTATTTTAAAGCACAAAAATATATTATGCATTTGCACACTTAAAACTGTACAGTACAAAGTCCGAGATCCGGACTCGTTAGGACATCTGCGATTACGGATTTTTTCGGATATTAGAACATTAGTTTAAATCTAGCAAGATGGCATGTAGAAATAATAAAATTAAAAATATGAAATTGTGATTTATGAAATAATGCACCATTTATGATCTAAAGAGTGACAAAATTTACAATATAAAAAGCTTAATATTTATTTGTTTACCTTATTAAGACATTTCTTTGAATGCAAGTTGTTCAAGTTGCTTCGTTTTTTGTGCTAATATTTTCTCTTTAATTCTGTAGACAGACATAATTTTTTGTTCACTATTGAAATCCTGTAACTGCTGCGTGAAGAATTCTAACTAACTTGGCATTTGAAATTTTTTCGTTTTCAGTAATCTTTCTGTCACTTTCTCCACTAATGGTAGCGGTATTTTCTGGATCTAGAATCAACCATACAACAGATTTTGCCTTTAATTGATTAATGATTGAAGAATATTGTCATCACAGGAAAAAGTTCTTTATATCATCTTTATTTATTACCACTTCTCCACATCACATTTTTTTACAAAATCCATTATTTGGAAAATTTCACCTTTGGTTTGTGATATCCAAAAACCTTTAAAAGTCGCGGCTATCATCATAAAATTTAGCCATCGTTCACTATACATATTTGGCTATATATCATGAGATTGGCGACTAAAGACAAGTTGTTCCACTAAACTTTATCTTGCTTCTATCATGCACTGAGACAATTAAGCCTGAACTGTATTAGTTATTTATTATACTACTTATGTCTAAGAACTAAGAATGTCTAAGAATTAGACAAAAATGTAGTACAAATACTATATTTAGTTTTTATTGTTTTCATACATCTGGATCAAAGCATAAGGAAACACAGGAGTATTCAATAATCACAAGAATATTCAAAAGACTAAGACATTCAAAATCAATCTCAGTTTAATTTCTAACAGTTTTAATACACACTAAAAAAAAGTTTGTTTAAAAAAATTATAAATAAATTCTTATCACAAAATATATATTACAAGATGTTACCAAAGAACTTATAGGAAGTTCTTCCACACATAATAATAGCTTTGCCAGTTCTTTTTAATTGAAAGCTGCACGATATCAAATTTACTATTTTACTTTTTATACAATCTTTTGTATTGTTACATATAACTCACCTTCTCTAAGAGACCAGTCTACTCCCATCTCTAAAGCCTCTTCAAGGTCTCTGAAATATGCCATAAATTTAAAAATACATAAATATAATATGTAACATAATATACAGGATAATTTAAAAAGAAGAACCATTATACACACTTGGTATAAATTACCATATTTCCTCACATATTTTTCTTCCTGGCTTTTTAGTGTCAGGTTTTGAAAATTAAAATAATATCTGTGTATTTTCCCCCTTCCTTAATGCATTCACAGAAACAGCTCCCCTAAATTTTGAAATGCATTTTCCCAAGTACTAACTATTTTCCCTAAAAAAGACTATCCTCGCAAACTACTTACGATGGGTCACGCTGAACATTTTTCATCTAACTACTGAAATTTATGCCAGCCTAATACAATAACTAACCCATGACAATGAAGCAAAAATGAGTACATTCAGTTAATAATTTTGCTAACTCGGCTGCACATACATTTAGAGATGAAGATATTGTTACGAATTTTGTATTTAGATAGCTAATTTTAGTAGAATTATAATTAAATTGTTTTATTTCCCTGTGCAATGCAAGACAAATTTTAAGAGAAAAGCTATGCCAGAAAAGTAAAAAATACAGGAGTACGTGCATTTAACATTGAAAAAATAGATATCTCGGTAATTTGTTTCGAAACTGAATAAATGTAATTTATGACTATGTTAGCTGTAACCATTATTCCATCCTTTTGTTGGTTTCCAAAAATCTCAATCAATAGAATTCATTGTTGAAAGAACTTTCATTGTTGAAATAGAATTCATTGTATAGAATTCATTGTTGAAAGAACTTGTGAAAGTTCTTTCAACAATGAATTCTATTGATCCTGCTATTCAGTTCACTTTTGAACTTGAGACTTGCAATTCTCTTCCGTTTCTCGACATTCTGGTCACACGTAACACATCCAACTTCAGTACTACGGTTTACCGTAAACCTTCATCGGTTTGCCTTCCACCACACTTAAATCATGTCACCCCCGACTAAACAAAAGTTAGCTTCATTTTATTCCTATGTTTTCCGTGCTCTTCAAGTTTGCTCCTCCAACCTAGCCCTTGATGAAGAAAACTAAAGTATTTAAAAGCAATAATTATTGACAGGGGCTTCCACCACAACATTATTAATCAAGCAGTTAAAAATTCTCATCTCAACACACTAAAAGGCACACTCTTGTTTTAGGAGATTATAAAAATTCTGTTGTCATTCCCTTCTTTCCATCAATTAGCTATAAAGTTGCACATATTTTGCAGAAATTTAACTTTCGGGTTGTTTATTCTCCCATCAATAAAATTCACAGTTCCATACTCAAGGACCCCATTCCGGATATGAATTCCTGGGGTATTTATAGGATTCCTTGCCAGTGTGGTTTAATTTACATTGGCCAAACTAAGAGAGCCTTAAAATTTCACGTCAAGGAACATGAGGCATTTGTTAGAAAAAAGGAAAACACAGAGTCTTCTGTTGCTCAACATTGTTGGTCCGAAAAACCACACTTTCAGTTTTTTCTGCTGCCAAAATTATTCAAAAAACATCTTCCATTGAGAACTGGATTTTCTAGAGGCATTTCACATTCATAAAAATCTTTCTGTTCTAGTTAATGATCCTAATTCCAATCCAAATTTGCCTTCGGCCTTTAAAGAAATTATGTTTAGTTCTGGTTTCACCAACAGATGGTGCCACTTGCTTATTCTTGTCCAGGCTTTCTTATCTTATCTAATCATTATTTCCTATCTTGTTCATTTGCGGTTTTGCAGCTGAAGATGGTGGTTCGGTAAAACCATTGAAACTAGTCCTGTGAAAATTTTGTAAATATAACGCTGATTTTTGTTGTTTGACTTCTGAATTAGTATTTATTCGGCGTGTTATTGTGTCTTAATAATTAAAGCATTCAAATGTCAACTAGTTCTTTGGGAAAAACAACTTAAAAATGAAGATTTGACGCACTTCCCGACGTGCAGCATGAACAAATCAAGTTTAGATGATACTTGTTCGTATCAAAAATACACAGAAAAAATTGCAAATTTAACAACTGAATTTGAAACGAGGTTAAACCCATACAGGTTATCAGGTAATGAACTAGCAGATTCTCTTGCCAATCAAGCAGCAATAGGATTAAACCTACCAGAATTTACAATGCCCTTTCCAAAATCACATCTTAAACACATCACATTCAAAGATCTATTTACAAAGGCAACCAAGATGGACTAATACTAAAACAAGACAAAGAACTTTAAAATTTATACCAAACATTTCAACTAAATTGATATCACCATCCTTTATGATTACAACATTTTTAACTGGACACAATCCATTTCTAACATAGTTAAATAGATTTAAACTCAAAGCTACAGACATATGTAACTGTGGTAAAATAGGAAGTGCCGACCATTATGTTCTTGAATGTGAATATACCAAAGAGCATCAAATCAGTACTGGAAAGAATTGACCTAACACCTATTAAAACAACCTGCTTTAATAAACTTTCAAAACAATAGAATACTGCATCAATCATAACAAATAATCTCAATGGTTATTTTCATCAAATGATTTCCTTTTTGGATTCTAATATTAAACATTAGAGTCGAATATTTATTTTTTATCATTTATTTCATATATATCAAAATTAACTAAATTCCACAGTCATTTATAAAAAAGACTAATATTCGGACTAAGATCTAAAATGAAACTAGAACTGATTTGTTTTATATCAATCAACCAAGACCCTCTGAAATTACAATCATCTGAAACCTTGAACTGCTTTATGTACAAAATTTTCGATCAAAAGAACTTAAAACTTCAAATATTTATATCTCAAGAACTTCCGATCTATTGAATTTCTATTCAACTACATAACTTTCACTGAATCTTGAACTACAGAAATTTATTGAAATATATATCAAAATTAGCTCAATGCAGCATGCAAATGCAGAGAAGACTGTAAATAATTTTCACTATCATGTAAAAATATTCATTGCAAAAACTATTTCAATAAATAATTCCACTGGGGTCGGCTTCTTCCGACAATAATTCCACTGTGTCGGCTTCTTCCACTAGGATATCACTTTAGGTTGGAAGCCCTTTCAGGTGTGCAAAGGTATTTATACCATGTGGAAGTTACCCTTTAGTATTTTTTCCCTACAAGCCTTTTCGTTGTTACTATTTTTATTTACTTAAAATGCATCATTATTGGCTGTTAATTACAACAGCTTTATGAATACATTACTATTATTTTAAATAGATTTAATATGTTATATGTTATTAATTCCAACAACTTGAATTACACTTGACAGTATTTATTACACATATTATTTGCATAGATTGATTTTTATGGTTTGCAAAAATATTTTTTTAAAAATACCTAGCATTCATTGGAATTATTCCTTTTGATCCAACTCCAACAGGTATGTGATCAAACATGCTTTGAGCAAGTTGTTCTTTAATGGGTTGAACATCTTTTTCCATTAAATTTGTTCTCAGCAAACGAACACCACAATTTATATCAAAACCAACACCACCTAGATTTGGGGAAAAAAAAAAAAAAAAAAGAATGTAAAGAAATTTCATACTTAATTTTAACCCTTCGGGACCCAAATTTTTTTCTTTGGTTTCACATTATTTGGGACAAATATGGGTTTTTAAACAATAAATATGGTAAAAATACCTTAGAAAAAGTTTACATTTCAGGAGCAAATAGGGATGGGACAAATATATCCCAGTGGGATTTTTAATTGGGATATATATGTCCTGATGGAAAAATAAATAGAGGTTTTGTGTATTAGAAAATTAAAGTCTGAACACATGTATCCCACGCACAATTATTGAATCAAATTATGCGATAAGGAAAAAAAAAAAAATCACAACATGTCACTCAAAGAGGTGGCCAACTTACCTAAGGAAATCATTCCAAAAATGACACAGCAACTGCAATATATGCACAAATACAGGATAAAAAGTAGATCATATGTAGCTCTGTTGCTACAATTGAAGATTTTGTGCCACTTTCTCTGTGCCAAGAATGGAAAACATTTCATTCTAAAATCTCGTAACATCAATTTGGTGCCCCCTGAAAGCTGCACCCAGAGACAAATGTTCCTCTTTGCCCCACCCTAGCTACGGCACTGAATTAAAAGCTTTTGGAAGCAAGAATAACAATTTAGGATGCATATTTCTAGCTGGTTTAATAAATTATTTTTAGCCAATCATATTAAGAAATTGCCAGTTCAGTTACAATTTTATTTTGTAAACTTTCGAAATTCCATATTTTACACTTCACACAAATGATTTCACACACACAAATAGTGTGAAGATCAAAACCTGTCAAGAAACATTAAATACATAAATAAAATTTCAGTTTTACAATTTATTAATTTTTATTTAATATTTAATAGCATCAAATTGCAACCTAATACTAAAAATAATTTTATAAAATTTCTAATTTAGCTTTATGTACAATTAAACGTACAATCTTTCAGCATTACTGAAGTATCAAATATTTCTTGATTTTTTTCTTGTCTTATTTATCTTAAAATAACAAAATACTAGATGCAAAAATAGCAATTTTAGAACTAAAAATATTATTACCACTTGTGCTAAAAAGACGTGCCACGCACGTTGAGATGCTTTTGTCTCAAACCGCGAGCGATGTGAATACCACGTCAATAGGCATTTATCACAAAAATGAAAATAACGTGGTGCACATGTCGCCTAACAATGACATTGTTTATTTCTTGAGTTACAGCTCTGGACTGCACTCGCAGACGCGGAGCGGCGTAAATGAGACACTTTACCGCTTGTTATATTGTACACCGTAGTGTAGCACCATATTGTAGCACGGCACCGCAACCGTGAAGTTTAGTCATAGTGCAAGAAAAGAAATAGTCGTAGTGTAAGAAATAAGGATGCTATACCTTGATTGGCAGCCAATTTTTGGGAAATTAATTTTAAATGAAACTTCATTCATTAACAATGAATTGCTCCAATCTATTACGCGTTTGATTATTTATTTATATTTCTTGATCAGATTATTTAATTGGCAACTTCACAGCACTGATAGACAAAAACACAAAACATTTGTGTTTGACAGACAAATATCCAAATAATTTAGTGAAACATCACACTAATATTAATTTATTTTCATAACCATGTTTCAATACAATTTAGTAATATCACCATCACAATAAAGATTCCATTTTAAAAATAGCAATTACAGTAAGACCCCGCTTAACGCTGTTTCGTTTAGCGCTGTTTCGGTTTAGCGCTCTTTTATTTCAACCCGGGGATTCCACAAAATCGCTCGCTGCATACGGGGATTCCCTGAAATATTATGCAGCGATAGGTTTCAAATACATATCCGAAAGAGTGTACTTGTATTTCTTGTTTGGTGCTGTATTGTACAGACATATTTTGAAGGGGTAAATGTGAAGATGTCGAAGAAATAATTCAAGAAGCAGCGGCTAGTCTTCTAATGTGAGCTCAAGGAATTAACTGAACAAGAAAAAAACAAAAATGTTGACGCAGTGATTCAGAAGAGAGCAAAAAGAACTTTGATGGCGTTTGTAAAAGGAGTTGCTACCATAACTGAAATAATGGATCAATTCATTGAAAATGATCCGAATTTTGACAGGAGCTCAAATGTAAGGCGTGGTGTAGAGATGCTTCTATCCGTTTATGAAGAACTTTTAAGAGAACAAAGCAAAAGAAAAAGGCAAACAATAGATGCTTTGTCACAAAAAGGGCAGAAACACTGAAACGCGGAAGGCTAACTAAATATGACTGACTGAGAATTTTATTTGTTTTTTTTAAGAATATTCGTTTGTTTTGTTATTTATTTTTTTTATTTTTGCAAGAAATAATAATGTGGTATTAATTTGGGCTTTAAGAAATAAATGTTTGGTTTTATTTTTATAAAAAAACATTTAAAATTTAAAAATACCAATTCTAGCCATCTTCCCCTAATCCCAATATTTTACATGTAAAGATAGCCTCGTTTAGCGCTGTTTCGCATTACACTCTACTTTGATGGAACGTATCCCCCGCGTTAAGCGGGGTCTTACTGTATAAGTATTGATGATACACATAATTGAGAGAAGTTTCAACATAGATACTTTTAAAATGGTATTTGAATACTGAAATAAAAAATGTTTATAAGCACTTTTAGAAAACACATTTTTAAAAAAATCAAGTAACAAAAATTTAATTTCTATGTCATTTAAAAGATTTAGCACCTTGATTACCTGCACCCACTTAAAAAGTCGATGGGAATTCCCAGCCTCGGCGACTACAAAAATTCTCAGTAAACATTTGTTGGGAATGAACAAAAATTTAATTTCTATGTCATTTAAAAGATTTAACACCTTGATTACCTGCATCCACTTAAAAAGTCGATGAGAATTCCCAGCCTCGGCGACTACAAAAATTCTCAGTAAACATTTGTTGGGCTATCTTTTACAGCTTAAGGTTACTGTTCTGTTTGCAAATAATAATAAAAAATATTTTATAAGCAACAAATTTTATGAGAAAGATTAAAAATCCTATATGATATTAACATTTTTATAGATGGCATACCGTTAAATATGAAGAGTATTAATCCATACGTTCCAGCTGCTGAGAGTACAGGCCTGCTGTGATGGTACACATGTGCGATATGCAACTTTTAAAGGTATCTTTAAAAGTTTTATATCCCTCATTCTACTGTGCCGATTGAAGTAATTCAAATTGCTTTTTTCATGTCTTAAAAGCACGACTTCAGATATATATTAAATTTACATATAGCATTGTTCTAATATATGTATTTTGACATAATATCGGACTTTTTCTGAAATGACATACAGTCAAAAGTCTTTAATCCAGACTCGTTGGGATTTCGGCGATTCCGGATTATCGGTTTTTCCGGATTATAGATCATCAGTTTAAATCTGGTAAGATGGCATGCAGAAATTATAAAATTGAAAATATGAAACCGTAATTTATGGAATACAGAGCAATTATGATTTAAAGGGTATCAAAATTTACAAAAAAAGCTTATATTTATTTGTTTACTTTATTAAATATTTCTTTAACGTGTGCATGCGTAAAGCATGCATTACGCATAGTTGAAATTAGAAAATTGCAACCAGGAAACTATTTGATGTGTATTCATGATATTTATAATGACGAGGAATTTGATTTAAATCATATCAAAAACGGAGTACATCGAGATGAAATACTACATTTAGTAAGAAATTATAAGCCAAATAAAATAAAAACATGTGCCCTGAAGATAATAGTAGTGCTGACAGATAAACTTCCAGTTCATTGCGTGCTGCGTCGTCCCCCCCCCCGCAGAGCAGCGTGAAATTGATAAACATATTTCGGAATGATTAAAGAATCAAAGGATATGCCTTTATCCATTTTTGCAGCAATTCCAATTTTTGTTTGATGGACATTGAAACATGCTTTCGCTTTGTAGATCCTTTGGTAGCTCCAGAATCAGAAATTCTTTTTGACATAATCGAAAGTTCAAGCTTACTTTTATAAAATTGCTCTAACAGTCTGCAAAAAATAATAAGTCGGATCCAATTAGGAGATTAAGGTGTGGTGTGTAGTGGTGTATTTTAATTATGGCAAAGCACACTAGGGCTATCTGCCTAAGGGGATTGATGCCTTCGTGGAGTAGGAGATTAAGGAACAACGCAATCTGCAAGATTAACTGAAATAGATAATTAGATAATTTTAGCTTAGCTTATACCGTCCATTATACATTAAACGTGCATGCGTAAACGTATTACGCGCATGCGTAAACGTATTATGCGCATGCTTAAAGGTATTACGTGCATGCTTAAAGGTATTATGCGCATGCGTTAATGCAACATGCAGTGATACATGCGCAGGAAGTTTGTAGTTTTGAGGTCTGGATTATGGACGTCCGGATTAAAGACTTTTGACTGTACCAACGTTTTTTCATATATCAGTTCTAAGACTCAAATTATGCCTAAATACAAGGCAACCAAAAATGTTCTTGCCATTTTGGACAGTAAGAAAGGAAAAAAAATCATAAAACAAGTAATAATAACCACTAATCCTCAAAGCAATCACCTTCGGCATCCAGTGCCTTTTGCTAGCTGTGCGATGCCATCGCAGTAAAGTTAAAGAGTCTTGGACGCAAAGAAGTCCGTGAGGGTCTTTTCGATGTCTGGCCGGTTGTTGAACGATTTCCTACAAAGATGGCTGTCCATGGAATTGAAAAGGTGGTAGTCAGTTGGCGCTAGGTCTGTGGAGTATAGTGAATGGGATAGTGTTTCCCAGCCCAGTTGCTGGATGGTGTCCCTGGCCTCCCGAGCGACATGCGGCCGAGCGACATGCATTGTCATGGAGGTGGACTACACCATCCATGTGTATGGCTACTCGCAGGTAGATGATCTGCTATTTTTTTATTTTAAAATATGGCCCGGGCAATTACTTAAACATTTAGTCATATTCACTGGTATGAAAAATTTGCAATTCTTTAAAAGTCAAAATTTAACATGAGCATTACAGTGTCACTCTTACGACTGACCAATGCTGGCTCTTATATACGTTCCAGCTGCAGCGAGTACAGGCCT